AAGGTCTCCTTTCAGAGGAAATTTGCTTGAAGTTTCCCAGCAGGACGCATGTGGGTGTATTAATGAGTCTCTCTGATCCCCTTACCACGGAGGCATTGTATGTGCTGCCTCTTCGCTGGCAGCCATGTTCTTCTCTCTGGAATATTTTTTTCTAAGTCAGATAATTTAATATTTAGGCATTCTGTGTCTTTCAGTTATAATTGGCTCATGAATATTATACTTATTGGCTATTTGGCTTAATATTTATCATCAATTTAAAAAATGTTATTTATTCAAATGTCTTTTTCACACTATTTTGTCTTTTCTCAACTTGGATTTTGATTACCCTTTCATTAAATACTTTTAAAACTATACTTTCATGTCTTCTAAGTTTTAGTCCTTGGATTTTCTTTACATCCTTCATTTTTTGCTTATTCTTCCTACCTTTCTGTTCACTAATCCTTTTCTTCTTTCTTTTGTTCTTTTTGGTATCAAGGTTGAACCTAGGGGAACTTAACCACACCCAGCTATTTTTAAAAAAATTTTATTTAGAGATAGAGTGTTGCTAAGTTGCATTAGGGCATTGCTAAGTTGCTAAGACTGGCTTTGAATTTGTGATCCTCCTGCTTCAGCCTCCCAAGTTGTGAGGAATTGATTCTTTATCAACTGACATTGATGAAGAATATGCTATTAAATCTCTTTTGTGGGGCTGGGGTTGTGGCTCAGTGGTAGAGCACTTGCCTCTCACGCATGAAGCACTGAGTTCAATCCTTGGTACCACATAAAATAAAAAATAAGATAAAAATATTGTGTCCATCTACAACTAAAAAAATATTTTAAAAAATCTCTTTTGTGTTCTCATTTTAATAATTTCAATTTTCAGATTTAAAATTTTTGTTCTTTTCTTCTTAGCAGATTTAGTTCTATGATTATATTGTCTAACCTATTGTCTAAAGCATGTATATATTTTATTTCATAATATTTTAAAGGATGTGTCTCATAACACTCAGATTGCCTGTTTTGCTTTATTTACTGTTCTCTCTCCCTCTCCCTCTCTGTTGTTCTTGTTCCTATTTTATGGTGTGCCTTGTAATTTCATTTTGCTGAATGTAGGGCATTGTACATGCAGTACTATAAAACCTGTTTGAGGTTCCAACTAGAGAATTTATTTAGGTTTGGGCAGGGACTTATGAAAAGAGCAGCTCTATGAAAAATGAGATTATATTGATTTAGAGTGGGTCTTTTCTATATTTTCGTTTCATTCCTCATTCCAAGGCTATTCCAAATAAGGCCTAGAGAATTTGTCAATATCACTCATATTGGTAAGCATTAAAGTCAAATTTTTATATCTTGTTTCTTACTGTTTTAAGACTGCTGGAAGTTTTTCCTCAACTTTTTAACCAGTCATGCCCCAAATTCTGTTGAGCTTATTAGACTCTCAGTTGCTTCTTTAGAATCCACAACCTTCCTCTGGAGGCAGGGAATACTGCTGTGAGATTCACAACACTGTGCTGCGTCTTTCTCCATGGTGTTTGTACCTTGAGACTTTACTGGCTTCATAGTTGTTTTCATGGAAGGGTTGGTTAAAAACATGTATTCCACAATTACTAGAATTGGAAATCTGCTTGTGTGTATTTGTATTTCTGTTCTGGTCTTCTTATGTGACTCATTCTCTAATGCTCAAAGTACTCACATTCCTTGGCAAACTTCTATTTAGTACTTAGTTATTAGATATTCCTCAAAAAAAAATATATATAAATGTGTGTGTGTGTGTGTATATATATATATATAATGCACATATATTATATAGATAATGTGAGCATAATATATATGCATATATATCATTTGTTATTATATCATCTATAATTTTTGCATTTTTAATCTGAATTAAATTATTGTATAATGTAATCAAAATTAAAATAAATTATTGAAATTTGTATCATTGTTTGTGCTCTGTGTTAGGTTTTGACATTAGAGCCTGCATATATTATAAACTCAAATGAACTAACTTGGAATACATAGTTAAATAAGATACATGTCCATTATCTTTTTTTTAAAAAAATATTTATTTCTTTTAGTTGTACACAATGCCTTTATTTTTATTTATTTATTTTTATGTGGTGCTGAGGATAGAACCCAGAGCCTCGCATGTGCCAGGCAAGCACTCTACCACTGAGCCACAACCCCAGCCCCATTATTATCTTTTGAATAGACTTTTTTCTGCTTAAATTTTTTTGGATATGTCTTTTGGGGATTCATTTTTTTCAGATAATTGGTTCTTATACAACAATGGACTTTAGAGCTGTTAGATGCCATTGCAAGAAACTTATTTTTATGGCTGGATGTGAGAAAGAAAGCATGTAGCCCTGGTACCTACTGAGATGATGTTGACAGTGATGAAGACTATCTGGGAGGATATAAAGGAACATGTTGAATATTTGGATGGGCCTGACCTTAAGCCAACCCTACTGTGGATTTTAGATAATTCAAATCTATAAATTCACACTTTAAAATTGAACACTTTGAATAGGGTTTTCTTTTTATTACAAAGGACACATTCTAATAATAACAAATTGTTGTTCTAAGTAGAGTACTTAAAGTTATAGCTACTGAAATACTAAATCAAGTAGGTGGAAAAGGGAAGCAAGGAGCTCACTTTTTATCACTACCCAGTCTGAAAAGTCCTTCTTAGGCCAAATGGTACCATTAACACTTTAAATTTAGATTAGCAGTCATGCATCAGATAATATTTGAGACATCTTAATGTGTAATATTTGAGACAACACATTTAAATGAGATTTTCAAATAAAAGCACAGAGATTAAAAAAAAGGGGATGGCAGAAAGCAAAATACGGTATATATTTAGAGTGTGCTAGAGTATTCTCTCCTGATTAGTTCAGATATTTACAACTAATACTGTCAAACTTTTTCTCCACCTACATCCAAACCATGGAAAGATAGCAAGTGTTTTACTATTCAGTATATACCATTAACTTCTGCTTACCCTGTCTCAAATCTTAATTCTGAGGTGCATTCTATTTATGGTTCCTTCTATAGATTCAGACTGAGCCCAATACCAGAGTGCATCTTTAGATAGCATCTATATTCTTTTTTTAGGCAAAAATATGTATAAAATCAGGGACCAGACTGCTGGGACTGAATACTGATTTAATAATTTGCAACTCTATTGCTTTGAGATTTCTTTTAAATCATCATAGGACCTCAGAATATTTATCTATAAAATGAGGTTTTCAGTAGTGTTCACCTCTTGAAATTTTTCTCTTAAGAGTTCCTGGGATACCACAGTGCTAAGTAAAGTGAGTTTTTTAGTTGTTATGATGATGATGGTGAACATTATTATTAGTGTTAACACTACTGTGTTCTGGTGCCTAGTACACAAAGTGCTAGACATAACAGCTCTGGTATCTCTCATTTTCTGCATTGCAAATAAAATACATTAATCTCAGTGTTAAAAATAAATTTACAAAAATTAGGTAGACATCAAAACTACCAGATTTGAACTGACTTCTGCTCCATACTGGCTCTCCCAGCAGACCTGACATATGCTCTGATGACCTCCTTAAATCAGTCTAGCTGTTCTACCTGGATTTTGACTGCTATTTAAAAATGGTCTTATTTTAAGTAACTATAGAAAAGGAACAAAAACTAACATATGTAATTTATCTGTTTGATCCTCACACACTATTTGGACTTCCTAATATATTGTAGACAAATTTTTCATCAATATCTTTGTTTAATGAGCTACTAGATAATTTGAAATCTAAAAGCAAAAGCTTTTTATAATATAAATCAATTTAATTCATTCACTGATATCTAATCTTAGTATATACAAAGCATTTTTCAAGAATAAAAATGAAATTTAACCCAAATAATTCTCTTAATGTTTACAAAATTAATTTATTAATACCTAAATATATACACATCTGGATTAGTGAAGAAGCCATAGAGTTTGTGATACTCACACTTGCAAGTTTATCAAGCAAAGGAAAATGTGTTTGAAAGCTATATGTATTGGAGGAAACACAAATATGAACCTTAAGGCTAACTGGCCCCTTGTAGGAGGGAGATAAAATCGGATAGTTAAAAGTTGCAGTTGTTATCATCATACATATTTATAAAGCAGTGAAAAGTAACATTCATTCTCTGTTCTCTTTCTGATGACAGTTAAATAAGAATAAAAATCAATGGGAGAAAGAAACCAAACTTCTATGTTTGAATTTACCTTGTTGGGACTGTCACAGGATTCACAGATCCAAATCTTGTTGTTCTGTGTTTTACTGGTCATCTCTCTTCTTTCCATATTTGGAAACCTGCTGATAATACTTCTCATCCAAGTTGACTCTCAACTTAATACACTCATGTACTTTTCACAAAAACTTATCCTTTGCTGACCTCTGTTTCTCTATGAGCATTATTTCCTGATGTTGGTCTACCTCCTGTGAAATTTTTTTTTCCTTTGCTGTATTCTAAATACAGACAGTTGTCTTCCTCCTTGTAGGGTGTGCAGAGTGTGCACTGCTGGCAGTGATGTCCTATGACCTGTACATTGCTGTCTGCGAGCCCCTGCACTACTGCACCATCATGATCCAGAGGACTTGTGTCCAGTTTGCCAGGGTTTTCTGAATAAGTGAGGCAGTTGTATGTTCAGTGGATAGTGCGTTTACACTGTATCTACCCTACCAGAAACAGAATGTCATTAATCACTACTTCTGTGAACTGCCTGCTCTCCTAAAGGTGGTGTCTATGGTCACCAACAATATTCAGATAGCTCTCTTTTCAATGGGGGTGATTATCCTCCTAGCTCCTGTCTCCCTCATCCTCCACTCCTACTGGCATATCATCTCCATTGTGTTCTGAATGTAGTCTGGGGAGGGGAGGCTCAAAGTCTTCTCCACCTGTGGCTCCCACCTAACTGTTGTGGTTCTCTACTATGGATCTGGAATATTTGCCTACATGAGACCAAATTCCAAGACAATGAATGAAAAGGATAAGGTCATCTCTATGTTCTATTCAGTCATGACTTCCATGTTGAACCCCATCATTTACAGTCTTAGGAACAATGACGTTAAGGGGGCTCTCAGGAAGCTGGCTGGAAGATAGTATGCCTCAGAGGCAGTGATTTCTGACATTTTTTTTAAAGAGAGAGTGAGAGAGAGAGAGAGAATTTTTTTAAATATTTACTTTCTAGTTTTCGGCAGACACAACATCTTTGTTTGTATGTGGTGCTGAGGATCGAACCCGGGCCGCACGCATGCCAGGCAAGCGTGCCACCACTTGAGCCACATCCCCAGCCCTGATTTCTGACATTTTAAAAAGTATTTGAACATTTTGATGGACAACATGGTTCTGACATCTTCATGTTTTCCTTCCATTGCTCCATTTCTCAGCTTATTTGATTCTCTATCCATTAAATGACTTTGCCCACACCCACAAGATGAGCAAAACTCAATGCTTTCCTCAAAAGATGTGGCAACCCACTTATAAGAAATCATAAATGCAGGGATATCCATTTTAAAAATCCAATTAAAGGGACTGTTTTTAGATAAGTTTAAAAACACTCTATAGATCAAAAGTCAAAGCAAGAGCTTATTTGAAGATCACAAATACCTTATGTAGATGTCTCTACTGAAGTGAAATTGATTCATTAGTAGGATATACAATATCAATAAGTGTTAATGGTCAGAAGAGATATCTAAGAGACACTATATCATGAACAAAAACAAAGATGGTCAGAGAAGGCACATTAAAATCAGAAATATATGTCAAGAAATAAAGCTCAGGAATGATATTATCACCAGATTAGCTAGCTTAATAATATTCTGCAAGAGGTTTGTGCATGTGATTAACCAGTTTCCCCTATAGTCAGACTTGCCCTATAGAAATGACCTGATCACATCTTTGCTTAGAAGCTTCATTCTGAAAGACAGTAACAGAGTGGAATATTGTGCTTGGCAATTTGTGTGATCACAGTACCATAACTGGTCAAAGGATTTATGGTCTAGATATTATCTCAGAGGTTATCAGTCAATGATATTTAATATCTGAAATAATTTTTATCTTATCTTTTAATTTCAAATTTTAAGGGATCTTATTTTTCATAAAATCTAATATCTTCTGCTTTAATCAGTATAATTCTCTCAACCAACACACATTTACTGAGCTTTCCATACTGAAATGCCTAGGAAGTTATTCTTATTGTTAGTATATAATTACTGCTACTTTGTATTCTGATAATTTGTAACTTTGTCTTTGGAAAGATTTAAATTGAGACATATTTTAATAGGTGTATGACAGTATGCTAGACACTAAAAATTTGGAATGTCAAATAAGCATAAATAATGCTTTAACAATTTATTAGGAAAAGTGACAGAACAACAAAAAAAGTTGATAAATTCTTCTAAATTGTTACTGTGAGGGCCAGATGGTGATACCTGTAAGAAGAATTTGGTCAAATAATAAACTGGGTAGACAGGACTAGAAGAGAAAAGCATACCTCAGATAGGTAGAGACAACATGTGTGGGATAAATGAGGCATGGAAGAAAAAGTCCTTTAGAATAGCACAAGAAGTTTTCTTTGAGCAAAGACCAAAAAACAAAAATTACAATACTGTGAGGAAAGGTATGTATCACTTAACTTGATTTAACCATTGCATAATGTGCACATAATTTAAATCATCATGGTATACCTGATGAATGTATATAATCTTATTTGTTTATTTAGATAAATAAAACATAATTATGTTAATTTTTAAAAGAATAAACATCATATAATTTGATTTAGCAGTTCTGATCCTAAGAATCCATTGTACCAATGTTCATGAAAAGATACTGTGGAGGAAGAGCAAGACACTGGCTGAGTATGACTCTCCAGGGGTTTTTTCCCTACAAAATTACCAATTTGAACAGCTGTTCATACACCAAACTACTTTCACTAAAGCACAGTACCTCATTCTAACATAATAATTAGAAAAAATACATGGAAAAATGCATCACTTCGCCCTTCAACTACAACCCTACTATGTGGAAAGCGATGTCTCCTGGTTGGAGAAGAGAAAGGACATTAAGTCTGGGTCTTAAACGCAAGTACCAATACAGGCATGCCACAGTGAAGCCCAAGCGCATGCATCCAACCTAAAACAGGGCCTGCAGATCAAGCCTCTGGATGTGATTTAGCCAGGCAGCTGAGGGATGGCCCCCACTACCTCTCCCTTATACTTGGGCAGAATAGTGCAAAGCAATACTCTTTCCACTGGTGGAAGAAGAGCAAGACACTGGCTTGCTCTTCCTCCACCAGTGGAAAGGAGGAAGGAGCTGTATAACAGGCAAATAAACACAGTATTTTTCCTTGAAACTCAGTGCCAGACTGGTGAAAGCCAATACCAGGCAGATTTTAGTGACCCTATCCCCAAGCCAGTGACCATGAATGGAGGCTTTGTACACTCCGGATGCTAAGTGAAAATTCAGAGCCCCTGTTGGACAGATTACTGTTCTGGCCAGCTTCACCCCATGCTAGTTGCAATGGTCTCAGGCCATGAGTGAAACATAGCAGCAGGCAAGACCCAGAAGCATGGACCTTGATCCTGCTTTGGTGTTGGACTGGATTTGGCAGACTGTGGGCTTCAGGTGTGACCCAGAATTGTGGACATGGGACTGCCCATTTAATACCTCTCCCAACCTTAGGAAGAATAACAGAGAGAATTTTACACTTAGGTAAGAAAAGGGAGGTATGTACAAAGTTACTACTTCATAGGAACTTGAGGTTAGTCTTTCCATGATGAGGCTCAGAGTCAGGCAGAATCCCATGGCACCTAAACACAGGCCAGTCACTCCAGAAGAGGTACCTGAGACACACAAGGGAACTGCAAGAAAATAAAATTATGATGAACATAGATGCAAAGTTTCTTAACAAAATACTAGCAAACTAAATTGAACAGGACATGAAAATCACTCACCATTATTAAGCAAGATTTATCCCAAAGATGCAATGATGGTTGTACACATGCAAATTAACAAGTGTGGTATGCCAAATTTAAAGAACAAAGGACAAAAACTTGCTGATGGTCTCAATAGACATGTAAAAATCACCGATAAAATGTAGTGTACTGGGAATCCAAGATGGTGGGCTAGGGGGAGACAGCATTCTGTGTCTCTCCATGACTCAGATCTCACCTAGGGGGAATACTGCATCTCTGAGAGTGTTAGAGGACCCATATGCAGCTGCTCTCATGCAGAAATCACCAGCACTGTGCTCTGGGGCCTCAGCATTCCAGCAGGACTCCTGGCTCCTGACACCCAACCCATGAAGTGCGAGCCAATGCAGGGCTTTCGAGCACCTGAGCAGGATCACCTGTCAGCATCACTGCAGAACTCCCAGACATTGATCCACTCCCACAAAGGACACTCAGCTGCTACCTACCTTCAGCACAATGACATCGCCTGGCTTCCCCCACCCCACTCAACACCCCGGCACTGGAAACAGGCTGCCTCTATCTTGGCACACCTTCCTCACCATATTTGGTGGGGGCAGCTCCCAGATGGAAACTCCAGCTTGCCAGGTACTACGTTTCTGACTCCCCCCTTTCCCCAGCGGTGATAACCCAGCACAGTAGCTTCCCAACACAAAACAGCACTCAGTGGGACAGGTGCACACTGTGACCAGGGCACCGCCTCTGGGAGTCCTGAGGAGAGAAGTCCCTCAACTGGGAACCATTAAGGAAGAGGGAGATGGGACAAAAGTTTGGAGACTAATAGAGGAAAACAGGAACTGAAAAATCTTCAGGCAAGATAAAGAGATAGAACTGGGCGCTCAAGTCATACGAGCAATCCCCAAAAAAGACTCTTAAGGTGCACTCTTCCTGCAGGGACTGGTGGGTACCACTCCTTGCTTCCAAGTACCCTGCACCAGGAACAGCCTTCCTACTCTGGTTACCTTCACCGTCCTGAGCACAGAGATACCAGCTAACGACAGACAATGGCATCTATTGGCTTAGAAGAGAAGCAGGAAAAATACGGATCTCTAAAACTAGCAACAATCATGGTTTCTTCCTTCAAGAATTTTTTTCCTCTTTTTCTTCTCCCCCTCTATCCTCCCCCTCACATCCCTAACATACGTGAAACCAAAAACTTTTCATGAATTAGGATTTTTGAGGACTGGGACATCTGAATAATGTAATATAGTGGTGTTCTATATGCCTTTTATTTATTTTTTATTTTTCTTCTTTAGTTTACCCCCAATTTTTTACTATTTTTAACATCCTTTATTTTTCTAAATACATATATGTGTTAGTTTTATTTACTCTACTGTCTTCCCACATACTTGTCTACCCAAAATTACTTCGTGTCTATTCTCCTGCTACTAACCCTCTTCAATAGATTTCTCTTTCACACTTCCTAAGATATATTAACTCTATATCCTCACATCCTACCTCCTCTGCATATTATCCTACATCCCACCCCCAGCTCATTGTCCACCATCAGAAACTGTAATCTCTTTTAGAAACTACTGATTATATTATAGATAATAATCAAATCCAACATTTCTTTACATTGTGACCAAACATCTTAATAGCAACAAATTGTTCATAGGTGGTATATTTTTTATATTGGGATCTGTTAACATCGTCCTTTTCCACAAAGGAGAGGTTTTGGAACCCTACAGAAGCACTACAAACCTACAAGGTAAAAACAATAACACCCCAGACCCACAGAAAACTAGAAGGGAAGACATACAAGCAACATGAAAAGACAATGGAAGAAAGTGCCCTAAACAAATCAAGTTACCACATTATTAGAATCCATGGCATCCACAGAGGAAGAAATCACAGATAAGGAGTTCAGGATTTACATGATTAAAATTTTCTGTGAACTGAAAGAAGATTTAAAAGAGCAAATACAGGCAGCAAAATATCATTTTGACAAGGAGTTATGTAAACAAATACAGGAAGCAAAAGATCACCTCAACAGGGTTCTAAATTTTAAAAAACCCAGAAATCCTTGAAATGAAAGAAACACTAAACCAAAATAAAAGCTCAATTGAAAGAATCACCAACAGAGTAGACCACTTGGAAGACAGGACATTAGACAATGAATACAAAACATAT